TTAAATCACATATTTCGATATACGATATTTGATTAAAATTATTTTCAATTCATTTTATATAAAAATTATGTATTTAAAAAATATATTAAAAGCTCAACAAAACTAGTGGTGACATGATTATATTATTTTATCAAATGACTAACAAAAAAATCAATAAAGAAAATGAAAAAAATTTGTCATATAAATAATGAATATGCAATTTAAATAAGAATGGATAAATTTAAATAAGAATGGATGCAGTATTTTTTTATCCTATTATTCATGCTAATTTTAAAAATATATTAAGACAAATAAAAAAAATTGCTTAGATAGCCTAAAAAGACATCTAAAAATGAAGTGATCAAATATCAATCTAGACATAAATGCACAATGGAATTAGGAGTAAAGCAAATTCCGCCCCCCTACAGTTTGGTTCAATTGATTTTTGACTCATTTGTTTTGTTCAAAGCATATTCGTCTATCATATTTGACTGTTTTGTTTGGTTCAATTAATTTTTGTTAGAACATTGTGTAAAAAATGATCAAACTTACGAATTTAAATCGAAGAAAAAAAATTATTCCCTGTATTCTAAGATTTTTTTTATTAATGGATTTTTTTAAATAAAAAATATATACTTAAAAAATAAAATCTCTAGCAAACAAAATGTGACATTATTATTTTATTCATATAAATAATCAATAAAAGTATTCAGACAATTGTTGAAGTTTTGTGGGATATTATACAGCAAAACAGATTAACTTTTTAAACTACCTAAATTTCTTACCACTCCGTGTTTTTTTTTCCTTTTTTGAAACTTACAACTCCGTGTTTTTTATTTAGCTTATCTCATTAGAATCGATAAATTCATTATCCTAATCATTGGTTCTTTGACTTTCTATATTTGGTAGACATTAGCCCTTTACAAGACACGAATATTACATTTGGTGGTGTACCCCATTTGTCCCCCATCCATTTCTCCACCATATAATTTTATTTTATTTTTATTTATTTTATTTTTTTTATTTTCTTGCCTTTTTTTGTGGTGATGGAGGGGGTGGGGGACAAATAGGGTACACCAAATGGTGTTTCTACACTATTACTTGGTCCATCTCCTCTGTTTTTCTTATTTTGTAATGAACTCGCCGTCCCAAGATGTCACGGATGGCCCGGAAGGTGTGCAAAGTAGCCAATCGCTTAGGGTCTCATATTTTTAAATTTGTTTATAATTTTAAAGCATAAGCATTCTAAAAAATAAAATAGGGCCGAAAATGTAAATTTTGGACCGAGCCAATTTTATTTTTTCATTTTTCGGAGCCGGCCCTGCAAGATGTTTATTCGATTTTAACATCTTATAAACAATTAGGATCGATACTTGATCAATAATTAAATAAAAATTATATGGTATATGAATTAAACCATTTCATGTTTTATTTTAAATGTGAAATAATAAGAAGTTCACAACTTGTTTCGGGTGCAGGTACGAGGAGAAAAATCTGAAAATTGATAGGAAGAAAATAAATGTGATGATTTTCGGAGACGGGATGGGTAAAACTATAATTTCAGGAGGAAGGAGCGTCGTCGCCGATAACATCACGACATTCCACACTGCCTCTTTCGGTAAATAATCAATCTTTAATTAGTCCTTCCCTTTTTCTTTTATATCGTGCTTAGATTATGCTCTTTCCCTCTCAAATTATTTATCTGCAGTCAATCAAAATTAAAACTCGACAAATATACCTTTGAGACAAAGATAGTGACCTTGTTTGAGAACAACGTTTTTTATTAGCGTCAGCATTATGGATAAAATTTTAATGGTGTAATTAATTCTGAAAACGCTAACATTTGGAAAACGCTAACGCTAATATCCAACGGGATGCCTAACGAAGCTAGTATTAATGATTTGTGGAATGAGAAATTGATGATGCGATTTGCTTTTTTGGGCAACAGCTGCGACGGGAGCCGGTTTCATAGCCAAGGATATGACGTTTGAGAACTGGGCGGGGCCGGAGAACCACCAGGCGGTGGCACTCCGGGTGGGGGCGGATCACGCGGTGATCCACCGCTGCGAGATTAAAGGATACCAAGACACCCTGTACGTCCACTCCCAGCGCCAGTTCTACCGGGACTGCGAAATCTACGGGACAGTGGACTTCATCTTCGGCAACGCGGCGGTGGTGTTCCAAAAGTGCGGCATCTTCGCGCGGAAGCCGCTGCCGAGCCAGAAGAACACCATCACCGCCCAAAGCCGCAAGGACCCGTACCAGAACACGGGCATGTCTTTGCACGACTGCCGCATTCTGGCGACCGACGACCTCGAGGCGGCCAAGCTCAACTACTCCACCTACCTGGGGCGGCCGTGGAAGATGTACTCCAGGGCGGTCGTCATGATGTCCTACATCGGCGATCACGTTCATTCCAGAGGCTGGCTTGAGTGGAACGAGACGTTTGCCCTCGACACCTTGTACTATGGGGAGTACAACAACACCGGGCCAGGTGCAGCTTTGAACCAGCGGGTTAACTGGACCGGGTATCACTTGATGAACACGACGGCGGAGGCTTATAAGTTCACCGTCGCTAGCTTCATTTTTGGATCCTCATGGCTGCCGCCGACCGGAGTGGCTTTCTTGGCGGGTCTTACCACCTAGCTGGCTAATTCATTAACTAATTTATTTACTATTTATTTACACACACCATCGATCGACACATACAACAACAACAGCCATCGTCATTCGGTTTCCTTTTTTCAGGTTAATTATATATGTATAACCATTTATATTTTTGGGCAATCAATTTTATTTGGAATTCCGATCGATTAGTTTTAATTTGGTCGTCGTCACTCAAGTGCAAGCTACGCTTGCTGCAGCTATAATAACACTGTAATTAATTCTTTGTTCAAATTCCATTCTTCATTTATATATAGAATCTTTCAAAATTTCTATATCTTGTGTAAGTGGGTCGATATTCATTTACATTATGTTTGGTTCAAGGAATTTGAGAGGGAAAGGAAAAGAAAATGAGAAGGAAAACATTTTTTCTTGTTTGGTTAGAGAGGAAAAGAAAAGAAAAGTGGAAGGAAATGAAAATGAGAAAGCAAAATGTATTAAGAGGATGGAAAACCAAATTCTTCCCATTTTGGTGAGGAAACTAATGGAAAACCATTTTCTTTTCCTTCCAAATTCCATGAACCAAACATAGTGTTAATTTATTGGGAAAAGATTTGGATATAGTCTGTGTGTATAAAGAATGAATGTAGTCTAAGCTCCCTAGTCAATTCCTGTTATATTTATCATTAATGAAGCGGGGACTTCGGCTCTTACACCTTATGATCGAGGAGAAAAATTTATGGAGCAGGGCTTGTGCACTTGTCGGTCGGTGCAACTAGCTTTCTCTCTCATCTCTAGCTTCATTATTGTTTAATATTAGGCTCCGTTTGGTATACGGAATTGATGGAATTGGAATTGAAATTCCATGGGATTCAATTCCATAGAATTGAATTCTGCTAATTCCAATTCATTTTTTGCACTATCAATTCCAAATCCACATAATTTTTGTGCTACCAAATACCAGAATTGGAATTGAAGTCCTCAATTCCAATTCCATAGTTTGAATTACGTGTACCAAAAGGGGCCTTATAGATTTCAAAAAGAGTATATCAAAATTTTTTAAAAACTGTGGGTGAAATTTGTTTAAAAGAGAACAAAATGAAGACTTAGAGCTAGAATAAGTTCATCTCAACTGGTCCGTGCATTTTGTTAGACTTAGCGCACACCTCTAAGGGGCGAATTGAAATGTCACCCACTTTGGTTGATTTTCACAGAACTTATCATTTCAATTACTCTCGTGTATAAAATGCTCAAGAACACGTAGCCACAAGGAGAAGTAATCACAAGTAGTAAAGGACACCACGATCTATATTGGTTTCGCCGAATGCCTACATTCAATCCCTGGACAAGCGTGTCCGAGCCTTCACTAACCACCGCACCAAACTTAACGGTATTTACAAACCTTAAAACTCAAAAACTTGAGTCACACAAGCTCCTTAACCTATCACATATGGCTCACAAGTCATAGGATTTCACCACTTGACGTAGTCCCAACGTTAAGATTTCTCAAACTACTTGGCGCAAACCAACATCAAGATTTATTTGACCACTTGACGTAGTCCCAACACCAAGATTTTACAACCTTTCTCACAAGAAAGAAAATAAATCGCACCGGGAATTACTTGATCTCCAATAGAGCAGATATGCTGCAATACATATTAAAGTTCCTATAAAACAATCCAATAGCAACTCTTGAAGACTCAAATGAGTATGAAACTCAAACAAGAAAAAAATATGATCAACAATGATCACTTATGTTCCATGCCAAAAAACCAGGCATAGATACATATCCATTTATATATGTCACACATATGTTGTATCCAAGGCTTGCACTTATGTTCTCGTCTCCTCGGTCCGCCTCCTCGGCCTGTTAGCTGGTCGGCTATATGTATGTTTGTTGAATTGGTAGTGAGTGTTGGGCTACGCCCCGTCAACCACCATGCCCTATTTATGTTTCTTATGTTCAGTTGCGTGTGACCTATTATGTTTGTAAGGGGGATATATTGCATATTCTCATCCAATCCAAGACACTCTTCATTTATCTGGTTCTACTTTCTCTCTCTAAACTAGGGTCTTAAGTATCCTTTAATTGTGCTTTCATAAAAATTTATATGAGTAATACTAAGAACATTATTCAAGTCAATGTATAAGTATTTGGTTAATCACTTATTCCCACGCAACCATGATGCACTCCTGAGGTCGATCTCCAATGTATGTGGTTTTTACTAACGTTGAATGTCATATCGCGTAATGTTATGTCGCTCTGTCGAGAAATGCATCCATCATCGCACCTACGTTTAGGCCTATAGGCTCCTACAACCCATCAGCAACATATAACATAAATAAGTTGATGAGTGACGCCAAATTTCATCATTCATTCTCGAACTGATTCTGAACTCCTCGCAGTAGTTCACCATCTCGGTTGTCAACCTTTCTTGAGTGCTCCCCTCAGGATCAAACAGCAAGCGGGAAGCGCCAATGATAACCTTAGACACCCTCTCCTTTCACTCAATTTTGTACTTCAATATTTAATGGTATTCAAGAGTATGAAAAGATAGAAAATATTCCACTTATATGTATTATAAGCATTACAAACACTAAGTCTGTAACTGCTCCTTAACAAAAAAAAAAGCATCGTATGGTCCCTCGTGTAAAGAACAACTGGCGAAGTCCGATACCCTATACACTTGCGATCCCTGCCTGGCCGACACCCTAGAACCGATATCCATATAGTAATTATAAGAAAAATCAAATAACAGAGTTTATCAATTCAAAAATATGTCATATCAAAAAAAACTTACATCCGGGAACTGCTTTGGCTGATAGATCTCCTCCTAAAGCTGTCTAGCTCAATAGGCTGAGGCCCAAAGACCTCGTCTTACCTCTCAAAGCCCACCTTCGATACACGTGTTGAGGTTATGGGGTCTAGACGGGCAGCCTCCTCCTTATGCCCCCCTAAGGGGAACTAGACAAAGCCCCCGCAGGAAGCTCAAGCTTGCTTTTCCCCTTACTCTTCTTCTCCTCCCATCTATATTTTTCTTTTTTGAAGCATGTTTGCCCTTAGTTTATTTTTTCATCAAGGGTCCGTTTGATACACGGAATTGACGGAATTGAGATTCAATTGGAAATTGAAATTTCTATGAAATTGAATTTGGATGAAATTATATTCTTCAATTCCAATTCGTTTTTAGCACTATCAATTCCAAATCCTCATATTTTAGTGCTACCAAACAGCAGAATTATAATCGTTGTCCCTAATTCTAGTTCCGTAATTTGAATTTTGTGTACCAAACAGACCATAATATTCAAATGTACTCCCACCAAAACTCTTCTTCTTCTTCTCAGTTTGACCCGGCGTGTATTTTTTAAGCAAGTTAAAAAATTTCATTAACTCTCCAAAACTACCCCTTCACCCTATTCCTATTTCGCACGATTCTCCATCTCGCCTGCATTTCTTTTTTGGCTGCTTCAATTTGGAGAGCCCCGTTCAACTTTCACTTCACTGCATAAAATTTAGAATGCCTTCTAAAATTTCACTGCTTCGGTGATTAAAGTCTTGTTTGGAAACAACGTTTTCGATTAACATTTTTTTGATAAAATTTTAATGGTGTAGATAAATTATGAAAACACTAACACTAAAAACTACCGTTACATAGCTTTTTCATAACATCAACGCTAATCTTTAGTGTTGATGCCAAACAAGGCCTAATTAGAAAGCCGTCTCCAAATTTGAACAGGACCAGAAGCTATAATTTGAAAGCCTCTTGAATTTGCAAAAAGAGATTTGAAAAGCCCGAGTAGCTGAATATGAACACCAATATCTTGCCTTCCGAAACGAGAGAAACAAAGAGCATATCCGGAAGAGATGAAAAGAGCGTTCACAAGTTCCTTTCAATGAAGTCCCATATTCTCTCTTCCATGTAGATGCGTTCCCTGTGCCGCCTAGGCATGTGACGCTCATCGGGAAACACGAGCAACTCATAGAACTTTCTAGAAGCTGCAAGGGCATTAATGAGCCTGGCGGTGTGTCTGAAATGCACATTCTCATCAATCATGCCATGCACCAATAACAGCTTTCCCTCTAACTTGTCGATGTGGTGCATCACAGAGCTCTCAAGATACCCTGACTGGTTTTCCAAAGGGCGTCCCATATACTTTTCAGTATAGAATGTGTCATATCCATCCCACGATGTCACAGGAGCACCCGAAACAGCACACTTGAACACTTCTGGAAACTTTGTCAGTGTCATAGCCGATAGATATCCGCCGTAGCTCCACCCGTAGAGCCCAATGTGACCTTCCTTTGCAAGCCCATGTTTGAGAAGCCACTCAGCTCCCGTTGCTTGATCCTCACTTTCAACACCACCACAGTTGTACTTGAGTGCACCTTCAAACTTGAGTCCTCGTCGAGCAGTGCCTCTGTTATCCATCTGTAAAGAAAAAAATAATCAGGATCAGATTTCTTGCTTCCTTTACACTGGTTCAAGAAATTTGAATGGAAAAAAAAAAGAATGACATGGAATAGTTTTTCTTGTTTGGTTAGGGAGAACGAGAAAAGGAAAGAAAAAGGGGAAGGAAAAGAAAATGAAAAGCCAAAATCTAAGAAGAGAAAAAACCAAATTCTTCCCATTTTGGTAAGGAAAACGAGAGTACAATTTTCTTTATTTTCCTTCCAAGTTCCTCAAACCAAACATAGTGTCAATGTTTCTTGTTTGTTTTTCTTTGCCGAACCAAAACTTCCATAGTGACTTGAGACAAAGGTAATTGCATCGATGAATCTATATTATATAGCCAATCAGATTTTGGAGTTTAAACAGTCCATTGGACTATGTTCTCCACACAAAGCATATAGAAATCCTGCTCCCAGAAACACACAGCATCCAAACTAGCTGTATGTTAACCCAGGTTGCAAGAATCCCAAAACATAGTCAATAAGTAGAAATGCAGGAACAAGTAACTATTTCATTTTAGAAAATTGTTGAAAAGATGCCAATTGATTGGGTAAGCACAGGGGTGGAGCTAACCTTCCAAACTAAAATTCCTTTGCTTCTCAAAAATTGAGCTCTCATGTCAACTGTGTTTGCCCATGAATCATTGACAAGCTGTACACCAGGACCCCCATATACATGAATCATTGTCTTGTATGGAGGAGGTCCAAACCTTGTTTCATCTGGTCGATATAGTATTCCATATAGCGTAGTCCCCTCTTTTGCTTGTATCTGAAATATCTCCGGAGGTTCAAGCTGGAGCATTTTGACTCTTGGAATACTGCTTGGTTGATCATGCAAATGCATTATGACACTTCCATCATGCAAGGAGCATAATGAGATTTTGGGAGGTGAGACTAACGAATCGTGAATGTCTACGAACCTCTGCATCTGACGATCAAGCACAACCACATGTTTTCCCCTTCCCAGAGTCAATCTTAATGGTTCCTTCAGAGAACCGTTTGGTTCAGGGAACAATTTAGAACAATAAAGGTGAGACTCCAAAGGACTATCTAATGTTCCGGTGAAGTATACGAGCCCAACAGCTTCATTTACGCCAACAACTTGCTCAACCATCCAATGACCTTGAGTTAAGGGACCCAGGCATGTTCCATTATAATCATGCAGATACAAATGTCTGAAGCCAGTTTTTTCACTTGCCCAAAGAAAGTCCCCGGAAGATTTATTCAGTCCAATCTCTAAAGGAGTGAAGCAATCATGAAGATTGATCCAGGTATCATTTTCTTCAACCAAAAGTACTTCTTTTTTACCAGTGTTGATATCAAACTTCAGTAACTTTAATTTGGTGTGTGATCTATTCAATACCTGAGCAGCAAGGATATTTTGATACATCCAATTCACCCTAGCCAAATATTCATCATCATCATCATCATCATCTGTAACAAACTTTCCTCCACACACAACATCCATCCAGGTTACAGGACCTCCATTTGAAGACACTACCCCCAATTGAACTTTTGCATTTGGTTGCCCAGAAAATGGGTAAGCATGGTCCTCCTGTGCCTCTGGACCCGTCGAACTTTTACCTTGGTGCATGATTCTGAAAAAAGGTATATCAGATGAATCAACCTTTGTAAATGCTAAAAACTTGCCGTCAAGTGACCACCAGAACCCATTCTTCCTGTCCATTTCTTCCTACATCAAGCAGAAATGGGATAAGTTCAATTCATGTAAATATACAAAGTGGATATCAGAATATAATTCAGCTAGATATTGCCAATTTGAATTTGGAAACAAACTGCTTAAAAACTGAAGTTAAGGTAATTTTTATTTGACCCTAAACAAGATGATCAATATCCCGGATAAAATTAAATTTACTGATATCTTAAGTAGAACGACTGTACGAGAAGATAAAGAATTGGATACAAACGATTCAATGCAGTAATGCACATAGAACAAAAGTTCCAGTATAAGTGCAGATATATGGAACTGCTTTTGGTCCTATTTATTAGTCCACTTTCTAACCTTTATAGCCATTTTTATGAATTCATTTAATCAATATATGGAACATTAAGTATTTTTTTTTCTTTTTTACCTTTGGGAGTATTGAATAGAAACAAACAGGGAAACCTGAAAAGAGAACTAAAACATATTGTATTGAAAGCACAGTGAGATTGTTTCAAAAAAAAAAGAAAGCACAGTGAGATAAAAAATAAGGGCAGCTTTGGCACGACTAGATCAGGTGTGATTGATAAAAACACTTTATGTAACATTATTAAAGTATCAGATTTAAATAAAGTGGATGATAGATAATCATTTTACCATCTTTAAAACCACCTTAATCAAAAGTAATTAGGCAGCACAAATAAAACCTTGATCTTACCTGGGCAATATATTCAGCAAGAGCATGCACCTGATGATGGAAAGTAAAGCACAATTTTAGTACCATACTAGAAAGCTCTATGCAATCACCGGACAGTTAACCACAGCAGCAATATAAATGAAATACAGGAAAACAGAGTAATAACCTGCGATTCGACTCAGTGCCAAAACAAGAATTACTCATGAAGCCCACTTTGGGTTAATTGAATGTAGGTGTTAGTAAATGTATATAAAAACTGGCATAACAAAGCAAACAAATTCCTTACAATGATGTTTCCATTGGAACCAGATGTTAATTGGCTGCTGTTATTGTAGATAAGGTCGAATATATTCAGCTCATTGCCTTTGACAAAAGCAAGTTTTGTTCCATCAGGTGAAATATGTGGATCTATAATAGGCATTGATGAGGTACTTGGAATCTTAAGTTCAAGTTCTCCCATAAGATCCTTGAAATATATCTGCTCACATAATAAGTAATCATCAATTAAACTGACAGTTTAGAACTACATATACTGCTGTGCTTAAAAGGTTATATACTGCAGGAATGAAGACAAAAGAGTCAAGATAGATTAACTACAACATTCCAAATTCGCTTATGAAATCTGGATATAGTAAACCTTTTACTAGAAATGTAATTCCTAAACCTAGTGAACACAGCACAGTAGTATGATGTTTTCGACCAGATCTATTTACAATTTATCACTTGGTATATCCCAGTTTCTCAAATATTGTTTTGACTAGATAGCAGTATCAATGCATATGAATATATTCTTTCCAGCAGAGGTCCAGAAGGAGAAGCGATCTAACATAACTGCATATATAAAGAATAAGAATGATAAATTCAACTCAAGATGGCTTTCTTAAAAAATAATTCCCTTCATCCTAATATTTTTGTTTGGTTTTGTTTTGGGACAAATACCGAGGTAAAGATTAAAGTAAAAGAAAAAGTCCTAACTACCCTCACTTTGGTTGTGAACAAACCGTTGAAATCATGTGGATGGATTCAAATAGGTCTAAAAGTACACTCAGCTTATTTTAATTGTTTTCAATAAAGTACAATGATTACAACCAACACTATTCATTAATGTACGTAAGGGCAAAATCTGATGAACCGATTTTAGTAATGTGGCAGCCAACTTCATAAATCATCCAAAAATCTAAAATAAGAAGCTTCTTCACTCCAAATGAACACCCCCCCCCCACACACACACATTATTAGCATAACACTTATGTTAATATCTTTTCCCTTGTACACTCACCATCAACTTCTTATAGGGTTCCTGAACACCTGTCAACATTCTTCCCCTTCAATATCCAACAGTCTTCCACTCTTCATCTTCAGCAGCCAACACTTCGACTCAAAATTATCAAACTTTGTGCGGCTGAGTTTGCAATAGTGCATGGGAAGGTGATAAAGGTGCTAGGTTGTAACTAGCTCCAAGTGTAAGTAAAGAATTCCAGATATTACTAATCAGAAGTAATGTTAAACTAAAACAGAGACAACTAATTTCAAAGAGGCAAGCTAACATACCCCAGCTGGTAACGGTACCATAACGGTCTTCCTTGTTGAGTTTGTCTTCACCCATTCATAGCGTGTTACACCCAATCCACGTTCCCGTAACCTCTCCCTTCTCAATTTCTCTTCTGCCGATATATTATTTTCATCAAGACCACCATCAGAAGGACTGAATAACATTTCTTGTCTGCCATTCTTGAGATCAAATACATAAATCTTCCTATTCAGATTTTGGTCGGGACTAAACAAAAATGTTACTACACTGTCATCAGGGCTGAAACTAATAGACGTGGGTACTCCATAGCCAGGCAATGGATACTGTACTATCTCCTCAACAGGAAACATGAAGCAATTCTCTAGAGGCTTAGAAACATTTGTATCCGTAAGTGGCATTTCACAGTAAGATGATCTTGAACTCTTGATCTCTTCAAAGTCTTCTTGATATTAGTATTCATAGATTACATTACAAATAAAACTACCAGCAGTACACATTGAACTGTCAAACAGATCGATCTGCAAACACCAGAATTTGTATCAATTCTACCACAAAACCCAAAATCCAATCCTCAGCAGCAATGAAAATAATTATAGTTTCAAGAAATTCAAATAACAAACTCAAATCTCAATTAGCTCTCGGATGTGAAGCGTAGATAAAACTAACCAAAACATTCTCCAACTGAATTATGTCATTTAAATGATAATGTTTCTAATATTCTAGTAATTTACTCTGTACTTTTCATTAACACCATATAACCCTAGTCTGGACCTCGAAGTATAATTACTAGTATTTCGCAGTGGAGTTCGGTTTTTTCCGTCAAACAACTCCCAGCAAGGAAAAATGAATTCGATTGGTCACTGCTAAGAAAATCACAGACTATAAACAGTCGGGAGGATCCAAGTTAGCAACGGAAATCACATACGGAGTATTACAATTAAACAGTTCGAATAAGATCTTTACTTAAGAGAGACGTTTGATAGATCGGCAAAAAAAGAGCTGGAGAGAGAAGTATGATAGATCGGCAAGAAAAGGGAAAGAACTCCGATTTTCCCTCGAAAAAAATAATCTTTTTTTCTCTAAAATAAAACTAAGTTGACCAGACTAAAATGATGACATTGGAGCACTTAGAGCTTGCTTTTTTCAAATTATTATTATTATTATTATTATACATTTTCATGGTAATCAATAATCAGACCAAATCAAAAATAATTTTAAATATTATATAATCAGATCAGAACATTTTTCAATCAGATCAGAACTAATCGGATTATCAGAAGAAAGTAACCCTTAAAAAGGGGGAGTACCATGGGGGACGGATTTCCACTAGTTAAAATTGCACAATATGGTACTCAAACATATGTAAAAAAGGATGAGCCTTATCTCTCAGGGTCAACTCAGATCCGGCCACACAATCATTGAGAAAGATAAATTAAATTATGATTACAGACTAGTGGCAAAGAATGAAGCTTGCATCTGGTACTCGTACATGGAAACATATATGTATTTTCTTTTAATATTGTATTTTCGTGTTTGCCCCTTCCGTATGAATCGTTGTAAACATTTTATTTTATAAAGAATTTTGTTTACGTAATTACTTTTTAATTAACTCTTTTAATTAATCCTACATTTTCTTCATCATAATCGTTTCTAGTATTAACGTCACTCTACATCCCTTGTTTTTCTCACTTGCGCAGCAGCCCTCAACTCGTTATCTTCCTCATACTACCAGTCCTTTGGGTGCAGGACATACTTAGTCGGTGGGTTCGTGGTTAATCTTCTCTTCCGCTCCCTCATGGGGAATGCACCTATCCCACGGCCTGTCTAGTTGATTAGGGAGTTAGATGATGGCATGCCTTAAAACGCTCATATCCACCGGAGACTCACCTTTAGAACTTTTGAGAGCACTACGGCCTCTACTGGCAACACTTCATTCGAGACGGGAGAGTCTTCCGGACAGTCATAGAGACCGCCTCAGCGCCTTCTTCGTCGACGACACACTAGAGCACAGTTGGCTTGCTCCGTTCTCCGTTTTCACCGTTAAGGTAAATTTCTTACTATAGCTAGTAATTTACGTAAGTTGTTCTTGTTGGAACACACTTTGCACGTTAAACTAAAGTCGTGTTCATTTCTGACAGGTTTTGATAATTGCCAAACCGCCGTGGATATGAAGAGTTTCGTTGAATAACTCAAGGCGTGAAGAATGGCTTGGAACAAGACCTAAAAGACTCAAGGACAAGATCAAGAATTGAAGACTTAGTCGAGTCGGTCTTTTGTGATCAAAACCGACAATTTATTCAAGTCTCGGTTCTCAAAAAGTCAAAACAATTTTTACAAACCATAAAACATTTTTTGTGCATCAAAACAAACATTTTTTGATGACTTCTTTTATTATTAAAATCCCTGGTCCTTGCTCAGAACCAAAACCACCTAAGTCGGCGTTCGGCTTTCGTCGTTCGGTTTTCGGCGTTCGGTTTTTTGGCGCCCGAACCAACTCCGTGGTTTTCAACATTTTAAACCCTGTTTTTATCTCTGAGCATATTTTAAAGGTTCCCGAATAATTATTTTGTAAAAACCA